GTAATGTGCTCCTGGTTTCCAAAGAGCCTGCCATCTGTGCACAGAGGCGACATCTTGATCTGGTGGTTACCCTGCTGATGAGATGTGCTTACAAGGTCACCTGGGAGTGAAGGAGCCACTCTGGTGAGGGACAGAAAGCAAGCGACCACAGGTGCATGCCTGTGACCATCCACTGGGAATCAGTTTGCACTTGGATTTCAGACCTTTCTGGCTCTTGGGATGCAATCTGATTGTCAGGATGAGAACCTGAAGGAACATGTGGCACTTAGAAGCGGTCAGAGTTTGATGTAATCATTACATGAACTTGAAAAACACTGTGTGCCTGATCGTGAGGGTTTGGAATCACTGCAGAAAGAAAACTAATGTGCTTGAAACATGTACATATTAGTCGTTCCAGAGGAAAATACGTATATATCTTTACTTTATTTTTATTTAAATATTTTCATAACAAAATTGGGCAATTATTTTCTGCTAAGGATCCATTAAAGAATTTTTAGCTCAAACCTCTTAGACCATTATTGTGAAGTCCTAAAGGATTTGTCAGCTACAAAATGGCTAGGACTGCAATGGGCCCAATAATGAGGCATGCTGTCCACTCCCTGACAGAAGGGTGACAGACTTTAGGTCTGTCTGCACTATAAAACATAATATATTTACACGTGGGAAATAAATGGATTTTTTTATTGTGGTAATCAGAAGGTTTTTCTTTTTCTCTTCTTTTAATTGGGGAGCAGAGACATTGAAGGATAAATTTTAAAAAATAAATAGATAATGGTTATCCTAAAAAAGTGAGGGGCCAGAACAGAATATAATTTGCTTCAGGTGAATACAGAAACCAAGGTTGGCCATCATGATGTGATCTTAGACATGAGAAGAGAAGGAGTAAATGGGATCACAAAGGGAATTCACCTACGTTCATAGACATGATAGGCAGTGAAATAATATTCTGTATATATGTCACAAATGGAACATTTGTAGATCTGAATACAATATGAGAAAAGTTGGATACAATATTGAAAATTAGTACACAACAACATTACTGTTACTTAGCATGTGAAATTTACAAAGGATGACTACGGTGATGCACCAGCCCTTGTCAATAAAGAGAAACAGAAAGAACCGAGACCCAGTAACAAGGATCAACAATTGGCATTTGAAAAAAGGATTGAAAGTATGATGGCATTCCAGCAAAGGAGTGTGGAGAGAGGAGACGTTGGGCTGGGGAGTCAGACGCCTCCTGGGACTGGAGGGTTCTTAACTCTGAGAGGTCTCTGGAGGTCTGGGGGCCTTAGTGGTTGGGGGTGTTGCTGTGAAGACCAGCAGCTAATAGACCAGCTCTGGGAGAGGATGAGGGTCTCAGAAACACCCCCCACCACTGAGATTTCCTGCCCTTCACAGTGTCCTGTGCGGCAGGAAGCACCCCTTGATGAACCTGTAGTATCTGTGTGACTGGACTACACACCCCAACCTTAGGCTGCTTGTCTGACTGTGCAGAGTATGAGACATGATTGGAAGAAGACATGCATTCAAATCCTGCCACTGGCTCTTAGGAGCTGTGTGCCTTATCTGAACCTCAGGCAAAGATCTACGACTTCTCTGCTTAAAGGCATCCTTACACCAAAAGTATGGCACCTATAGTCAATGCAGAGAACCAGAATCTTAACCTCTGGGAATCCCCCAGCTGTGCCGACACAGCCACTGAAGGGCAGTGACTTAGAGGGATATACGGTCATTAGGAAAGGAAATACTCGCTAGAAGTCTGGGTTGGACCTGATTGCATCAGGGATCATTTCTGAGCCCTTGTGCTTGGCACTGATCGCCTTCCATCCCAGGGTGAGACAATGGTCTACTCCCTACAACCAGGGAACTTAGCCATGCTTTCCCAAAGACATTATTTTTCAAACAGCTGAAAGCAAAACAGTAATCACTATTTTTAGCAAGCACAATAAATCTACATAACGTGACAGGAATTTAAAACATCCAGCCAAATTTGTATTTCAAAAATGTCCAAACTTAAATAAATTAATTTGTTACAATACATTTCTCATACTGATCATTGGGCATTAGCTTATATTTGTGCAGCAGTACCTCCAAAATGATATTACAGACATGCCAAGTGTCTTCCACTGGGTACTTATTTAAATGACTGCTTACACAAAAGTCTGTATACACATCTCCAAGTACAAACAAGTGAACATGCAATAATAAGAGTTTTACTTCATAAAAAAAAAGGGCAATGGAGAAAGGCTGTCCAGTACTAAGGACAGAGCATGCCCAGTCACAGAGTTTGAATGCTGATCTCAGCTGCAGGGATGTTGGTCAGCCCATTCAGCCATTTTGAGCTCATGACCTGTAATGGGGATGCTGGGCCTCCCTGTGTCTCAGGTTTGTTGTGAGGATCCAGTGTTATTGTTTTTAAACTTCTGTGGAAGTTAAATCACCCTGGGGATGTGAGCTAAAGTCATTTTCAAATGATTGATTCTGCCCATCTAAGTTTGAAGACTCTTCTCTTTCACTAAGGAAACAGATTACAAATCAGTTACTTTCTGTCAGTGGAGGAAGAGGATATATTTGTGTATATGTGTATGTGTCACTATATGTATATATATATATATATATTGTTTGTTTGTTTCTTTGTTTACTTTAGATGGAGAGAGTAGGCTTGAAATGAGGAAGGCTGCTGCAAAGCTGAGCATTTCTTTGGAAGAATCACAACAGCAAAGATTCATGAGTGGTAATTACTGTAATCTCAATTTGAGAGAAATCTGTGATTCTGATATCAAGATTGACAAAAAACAAAAGAGTCACTGTGAATTTGATAAAGATGGAAGGAGTTTCAGACACTATTCCATCTGTTCTCAGGATAGTAGATGTAGGGAATGCTCTACTGGACAGGTAGACCTTGTTGAGTCTCGTGAGAAGCCTCCTGAAGTGCAAGCTTATCAATGTGAGATGGCCTTCAGCTTGAATTCAGACCTAATTAGATCTCAGAAAAGTCATAGTGGAGAAATGCTTTATACACATAATGAAGGTGAGAAGGCCTTCAGCAGTAATTCAAAGCTCATTGACCATGGAAAGAAACATTATGACTGCAATGAATGTGGGAGAGCCTTTAAAGGACAGTTATCATTTATTCAGCATCAGAAATGTCATACTAGCGAAAAGCTACATAATTGTATGCAATGTGGAAAGGCCTTTGAGAGACAGTCCTCCCTTACTTCCCATCAGAGAATTCATACTAAAGAGAAATCCCTTGAGTGTCGTGAATGTGGTGAAGTTTTCAATGAAAAGTCATCCTTTGTTGTACATCAGAGAAGTCACACCAAAGAGAAATGTTATGAATGCAATCAGTGTGGAAAGACTTTCAGACAGAAATCCAATCTTGCCGAACATCAGAGAATCCACACTGGTGAGAAACCTTTTAAATGTAATCAGTGTGGAAAGACTTTTAGACACAGCTCTAGTCTTGCTAATCATCAGAGAATCCACACTGGAGAGAAACCTTATGAATGTAATGAATGTGGAAAGGCTTTCACACAGAGCTCCAATCTTGCTCAACATAAGAGACTCCACACTGGAGAGAAACCTTATACATGTAACCAATGTGGCAAGACTTTCACATACCACTCCAGTTTTGCACTACACCAGAGAATCCACACTGGAGAAAAACCTTATGAATGTTATCGATGTGGAAAGACTTTCAGACAGAGTGTCAGTCTTGTTGTACATCAGAGGATTCACAGGAAAGAAACCTTAAAAATGTAATCGGAGTGGAAAGACTTTCAGATGCACCTCCAGTCTTGCCGTACATCTGAGAAGCCACACTGGAGAGAAACCTTATGAATGTAATCAGTGTGCTTAAGATCTTCCAGCAACAATCATCCCTGATTTCCCATGGAAAAATTCATATTAGATATAAACTTATCACTGTAATTTATGAGGAAAGGCATTCAAATGGAGTATAGAGCTTGTTAGATATCAGAAAATTTATTCTGGGGACAAACTGAATTTGCACTCAATGTGGGAAGACCTTTAGTTAGAGATCATCTCTTACTTTGCATCTGACCATTCACAGTGGAGAGAAACTTTACGAATGTGCTCAATTGGGACATGTCTTTTGCTGAAACATAGAGATCTCTAGACATCAGAATATTCACACTGGAAAGAAGACTTATAAAAGCAATAATTGTGGGAAAGCCTTGATGTGGAGGTCATACTTGACCGTACCTTGGAGAAATTATACTAGAGATAAAACTTATAGATCTAATTAACAAGAGATGACCTGTTGCTTGAGCACAGTCCTAATTAGATATCCCAAATTTCATACTGTATATAAAGCCTTATAAATGTAATGAGTTTTGCTCTGAGGTACTATTGTTTTTTTCAGTACTCCTCAATAATATTTCATAGCAAATACCATAACTTCATCAGCCATTTCCCAGTCAATTAATATGGTCTTGTTTCCTGCTCTTTGTTGACATAAAAAATTCTGGTATAAATATTTTGGTAACTGTAGGACACTTATTTCTGTAATGATTTCTTTTGGCTGGTAGGTGGCACAGTGAATAGAGTGCTGCTCCTGAAGCTATATGACCTGAGTTCAAACTCAGTCTCTGAAACTTACTATATGTGTGAACCTGGGCAAATCATTTAACCTTTTAATGCCTTAGTTCTTGCTATCTGTACAATTTATATACTAAGGGGTGGAGCCAAGATGACAGAGTAAAGGCAAGGAGTCACCTGATCTTCTCCAAATCCCCCTCCAAATGACTTTAAAATAATTTCTCAAGACAAATTCTGAAGCGGCATCACCAACAAAAGGAAGTAGCAAAATAATTTTCCAGTTCAGACAACTTAGAAGGTTGGCGGGAAAGATCTGTCTCACTGGGTGAGAGTGGAGTGCACCCCAGTGCAGGTTGTGCCCCAGCAAGCCAACTGCAAGTCTCAAGGCCAACTGAATCAGCAGGCCAACAGTGACTTCAGAAGCTCTCAGCCCACATGTGGTAAGTGTGTAGAACACCTGATCAGAAGGGTACCCTTTGCTGCCACTGGGTGCAGGACTCTGTTGCATTGTCCAGGTTTGCTGTCCCAGGATGAGAAAGAGTGCTAGCACACTAGAGACTGCAGCTGTAGGGGAGTGGGGACCCTAGTCATTGTTCCCGGGCTGAAAAGAATGTTTGTGGTCACTTAAAGACAAGAGCATATGCCAGTAGAGTAGTAAACACACCTTTCTTTAGGTCATACCACCCTGGAAGAATTGAAAACTTACAGACCACCAGAACTAGCTCTGAAGATAGCAGGAAGACAAACCTAAAGCTTGGGACAGTTCCTCCTGCCCCCCAGGAACAGAGCCCAATTTTAACATAAAATTGAAAGTCAAGAAATAGGCTGGGAAAATGAGGAAACAATGAAAAAAAGAACCTAACCATAGAAAGTTACTATGGAGGCAGAGAAGATTTAAACATGAACTCAGAAGAAGAATGGCAAAGTAAAAACTGCTACATCCAAAGCCACAAAGAAAAATGTGAATTGGCCTCAGGACAAAAAAATAATAATAATAATTCACTGAAGATGTAAATTTTTTTTTAAAAAATCAAATAAGAGAGGTAGACAAAAAAAAATTAGGAAAAGAAATGAGAGTGATAGAAGACAATCATGAATAAAAGAGTCAACAACTTGGTAAAGGAGACACAAAAAATACTGATGAAAGTAACACCTCTAAAAATAGAATAGGATATGACTAGGTAGTTTTCAGACAAAGTAATCAAACTTATACATACTTATGTGAAAATACTCTACATCACTATTGAATAGAGAAATGCAAATGAAAACAAGTTTGAAGTATAAACTCACACTTATCAGATTTGCTAATATTACAAAAAAGGAAAATGACAAATGTTGGAGGGGATGTGGGAAAATTGGGACACTAATGCATTGTTGGTTGAGTTCTGAACTGATCCAAGCATTTGGAATTTGTTATTATGCTCAAAGGGCTATTAAAGTGTGCATACCTTTTGACCCAGCAACATTGTTATTAGTTCTATATCCAAAAGAGTAAAAATGAGGGGGAGGGAAGGACTATTTGTAATTTTTTTTTGTTTTAATTTAGTATTTTATGTTTCCCCAGTTACATGTAAAAACAAGTTTTTTTGTTTTGTTTTGTTTTTGTTTTTGTTCTTGTTTTTGGTGAGGCAATTGGGGTTAAGTGACTTGCCCAGAGTCACACAGCTAGTGAGTGTTATATGTCTGAGGCCACATTTGAACTCAGGTCCTCCTAACTCCAAGGCCAGTGGTAAAAACAAGTTTTAACATTGGTTTTTAAAACTTTGTGTTTCAAATTCTCTCCCTTCCTCTCCCCCTCCATTGAAAAGGCAAGCAATTCAATATAGGTTATACATGTATAGTCATGCAAAACATTTCCATAATAGTCATGTTGTGAAAGAAAAACCTCAAAAAAATAAAGTTAAAACAATATGTTTCAATCTGCATTCAGCACCATCAGTTCTTTCTCTGAGGATGGATAGCATTTTTCATCAAAAGTCCAGGAAGGATTATTTGTACAAAAATATTTATAGTAGCTCTTTTTGTGGTGGCAAAGAATTGAAAATGAAGGGGATGTCCATCAATTGGGGAATGGCTAAACAAGTTGTGGTATATGATCATAATGGAATATTATTGTGCTATAAGAAATGATGAGCAGGATGACTTTAGAAAAACCTGGACTTGCATGAACTGATGCTGAGTGAAGTGAGCAGAACCAGGAGAACAGTGTACATAGTAACAAGAATATTGTACAATGAACAACTATGAATGATTTATCTATTCTCAGCAATACAGTAATCCAAGACAATCCCAAAGGACTCATGAGAAATGTTATCTGCCTCCCAAGAAAGAACTGATGGCATCTGAATACAGAATGAAGCATACTATGTTCTTCTTCCTCCCTTCCTTCCTTGGTTTTGAGTTTTCTTCCACAAAATGACTAATGTGGAAATATGTTTTACAAGCTTACACATGTATAACCTACCTCAGATTGATTACTATCACAGGGAGGAGGGAATGCAGGGGAGGAGGTATAGAATTTGGAACTTAAAACTTTTTAAAAATGAATTTTAAAATTGTTTTTATATGTAACAAAGGAAAATATTTTAAAAACATCAATAAAATATAGTTTGTAGAGGAAAAATAATGTAAGATGAAAGCAAAATTAGTGGCCTTGAACAACTCTGATGTTAGTTTTGAAATGTTGTGACAAATTTTGCCAACAAAAATAATTATAACACTCAATTTTTAATAAAAATTATCTTCATTATTTTAATCCTTTACAATGAGCTAAAGAATTGAAAAATATCTATTATTATAAATGAAATAAAACCTCGAGAGTTAAAAAAAACAACGACAAATAGGCCAAAAGTTAAAGGAGGCACAAAAATCCAACTGAAGAGAAGAACTCCTTTAAAAGGCAAAATTGGCTAAATGGAAAATCATGTACAAAAATTCACTGAAGAAAAGAACTCAAAAAGTGTAATTGGTGAAATGGAAAAGGAGGCACAAAAGCTCACTAATGAAAATAGATTACTTAAAAATTAGAATTGGGCAAGTGGAAGCTAATGACTCCATGAGACATCAAGAAACAATAAAACAAAATCAAAGGAATGATATAATAGCAGAAAATGTGAAATATCTAATCAGAAAGACAACTGACCTAGAAAATAGATCTAGGAGAGATAATTTAAGAATTATTGGGATACCTGAAAGCCATGAAGAAAAAGAGAGTCAAGCCATCATCTTTCAAGAAATTACCAAGGAAAACTTCCCTGTTATCCCAGAACTAGAGATTAAATTAGAAATTAAAGGCATCACATCCTGAAAGAGATCCCAAAGGGAAGATTTTAGGAATGTTATAGCCAAATTGCAGAGCTCCCAGATTAAGGAGGAAATATTGCAAGCAGCCAGAAAGAAACAGTTGAAATATCATGAAGCCATAGTCAGGATCACACAAAATTTGGCAACTTTTATATTAAAGGATCAGAGGGCTTGGGATATGATATTTCAGAGGGCAAAGGAGCTAGATTTACAAGCAAAAATCACCCCAGCAAAAGTAAGTATGATTCTTCCAGGAGAAAATGGATAATTAATGAAATAGAGGACTTTCAAGTATTTCCAATGAAAAGATCAGGACTGAATAGAAAATTTGACTCTCAAATATAAGACTTAAAAGAAGCATTAAAAAAGTAAAAAGGAAAGAAATTACAAGGGATTCAATAAGGTTAAACTATTTACATTTCTACATGGGAAGATGATACTTGTAACTCCTAAGAACTTTCTCATTATTAGGGCAGTTAGAAGGTATATACACAGATGGCATGGCTGTGAGTTGACTATGATGGCATGATATCTAGAAAAAATAAAATTAAGGGATTACAAAGAGGGATGCATTGGGAGAAGGGGGGAGAGGTAGAATGGGGGTAAACTATCTCACATAAAAGAGCTTTTACAGTAGAGGGGAACATGGGGGAAAGGGGAGGAGAATGCTTGAATCTTACTCTAATTAAAATTGGCTCAGAGAGAATAGCATACATTCAATTGGGTATAGAAATTTATCTTGCCCTTGAAAGAAGGAGGAGAAAGGATTAAAAGAAGGGGTGGAGGCTGATAGAAGGGAGGGCAGACTAGGGGAGGAGGTGGTCAGAAGCAAAACACTTTTGAGGAAAGGCAAGGTCAAAGGAGAGAGAAGGATAAATGGGAAAATGGTATGGAGAAAAATTACACAGCAATCAACTGAATTTTTTCTTACAAGTTTCTCTAATAAAAGTCTTATTTCTCAAATGTATAGAGAACTGAGTCAAATCTATAAGAATACAAGTCATTCCCCAATTGATAAATGGTCAAACATTATAAATAGGCAGTTTTCAGATGAACAAATCAAATCTATAGTCATATGAAATAATGCTCTAATTCATTATTGATTGTTATTGTTCAGTCATTTTTCAGTTCTGTCTGCCTTTTTGTGACCCCATTCGGGGTTTTCTTGGCAAAGGTCCTGAAGTGATTCATTTCCTTCTCCAGCTCATTTTTTTTAACAGATGAGGCACTGAGACAAAAAGGGTTAAGTGACTTGCCCAGGGTCACATAGCTACCAAGTGTCTGATACCAGACTTGAAATCAGGTCTTCTTAACTCCAGGGCCTATGCTCTACCTGCTGTATCTCCTAGCTGCCCTCCCAACATTGTTCAGTGTAGTTAGATTACAAATTGCATGGAGAGCAGTAAGGCGTTTGAACTCTGGGGAAAAAAAAAGGTAGGAAGGGTCTAGGTTGTTAAGGGCTTTAAATATCCATAGAAATGACTTTACATTTGGTCCTGAAGGTTATAGGGAACCATTGAGGTTTATTTAATTGAAGACTAATATGGTTCAATCTGCTCTTAAAGAAAATAATTTTGGCAGGTGATAGGTTGGAGTGGGAAGACAGTTAAGGCAAGGAGACCAATTCGAAGACTATTTCAATAGTTTGTGTGTATGTGTTTGTATGAAACAGAGGAGGGGGAGGAGGAGGAGAGGAGAGGAGGGAAGGGAAGAGAAGAGAGGGAGGGAGGGAGAGAGGTAGCTAGATGGACAAATGATAACTAGACAGATGGGAAAGAAGGAAGGAAATGAGCATTCATTAAATGCCTACTGTATGCCATGTGCTGTGCTAAATACTTGTTACAAATATTATATCGTTTGAACCTAACAGCCTATGAGGAGGGTGCTATAGATAGAGCACTGATTCAGGTCTTACTTTGTGCTAGGTACTGAGCTAAGCTGTGGGAATCCAAATACAAGGTGGAAAAACAAGTCCCTGCTTCAGGGATGTGCTAGAGCCACATCAAACCTGCTCTAGATAGCCACTTGTTAAATGTTCAGTGTGAGGATTTATACTTCAGAAATCAACAAATCCAAAAATCTGGGCTTGACCTGTTGATTGTCTAAGCTTAAGTGAAGGAGGAAAAGTTAATAATGC